TAAAACAAATCGACTTCCTCACAAACGCTTTCGCACTAAGCGCTTCATTTGGATAGATTTGATTGGAGTTTGATTATCCAACCACTCAGCTCGGCAACTAAATTATCTGGCAGTCTTTACTATTTCACGACACATATTCCCAACGTTTACTGTAACAACAAATAAAAGTAACACTCCACTTCACTTTGGAGTAAGAATATTAATACGTCAAAAGAAACAGTTACTACTCACATATTCCGTGTTCAAATTTAAAACGCACTTCAAAGATGTATCCAGCACAGTCCAGTATAACAGATCTAATAGATCAACTGCCAAATTCACTGAATTTGCTATGTCCTGAACTTGACCTTACACGTAAGTTCATCCCATTTTCATTTCAGGCAAATACCACTTTGGAAAGAATTGTACCTCATTTTACGGAAATTTGCATACAAGGCTGGAGAAATCATAGCTGCTAAGATTAACTATTTAATCCATTGATGGGTAACAAGTAATTGCAAAACCCAGTGAACCTTAAAATCCAGAAGCATAATATGAAACTAAATGAAAGTTTTAAATAAACCCAACCATACATTATAGCAGTACACTGCGGGACATATGAAATAAGAGAATACCAAATTTCCTACTTTAAGACCCTTTTCTTCACCAAAATTTGAAAGCAAATGATATGTTTGCATAGAGAGCAATATGGAGAATAAAGCCTTTGAATTCTGCTAATTTCAATTTCGCCAGAAACATCCAGCGTGCGAAATGAATGGACGGTACAGAACGAAAAATTAAATTTAAGTTAAATCATTTTGGTAAGTGTTGATTTTTTTTTAAATTTACTTTCATCAAGACCAATTACAGAAAATATGAATGTCAGGTTTGACTATCGCAAAATCTTGTCTCCTGTTCTCCTCAAAGACCTTTGATACCGCATTGCACCTCATACAGCTGCGCGGCAGATTTTTGAAGCTGCTTTATCTGAAATAAATAAATTTAAACATTTTCAACTTTTTCCAGGAGATTTTTCTGTACTTACTAGACAAAGAAAGTATTAAAAATCGAAAATTTTATGATTTGAAGACCATCACTGAATTCGTTTCAAACCTAAGCACGAAGACTAAGGAAAGAGGAATAAAAGGCGAAGGTAAAATGACAAAAGAGATGAGACTAAGCTTCACTGTTTAATTCTAAAACGAATGATTTTTAAATTGATATACAAAATATACCTCCGTTTCATTCAAATTCTGCTTTACAATATGAGTGATGCCATTCTCACCAAGAACGACTGGAAGCGACAAGTAAACGTCTTGATCGATACCATGTAAACCCTGCAATGAAAATTATTAAAGTCGATAACTTCTAGCCATTCACAAAACCATTTTGAATCTTTTAAAGTTTGAACTAATCTAAATTATTAAATCTACTAGTAACGTACTCCATTAATTTCAGTTCTTTTGTGAGCATTGAGCTTTAGTAGTGTGTAATCAAGAACAGAGAAATTTTTTCCTATCTCTCACAATTATTTAATAAATACGAAAACAAAAGGATAGAACAAACCTTAACGTTGACCGAAAGAGCACAAACAGAACGCGTATTACGAAGAGCAATCGTGGCAATGGCAGCCGTTGACATACCAATGGCCCAGGAAGTATAACCTTTTAGCTTTATGATCTCGTAAGCACTAAAACATAATAATCTTTGGGAGTGAAAATTTCAAAACCTGCTAAAAATTCTTAGAATCGCTTTCAGGCAATGTAACCTAAGAAGATGCTAAATGTTCTTCTGTGAAGTTAACTAGCAAAATAATGGAATTTCGAGATCAAGTCGAACATATTAACGGAATTGAAAAAAAAAAAGCAAAAAGTCAAATTTAATAAAGGTGTCAAAACGTACGCTGAAACGACTCCTTTGTGGATTTCTTCGTGCCATTTATCTGAATCAGCGCTCTTGCCAATGTCCGGTTTCACGTCACGCAGTGCAACACCTGCCACATTAACACCAGACCAAACCGGGACTAGAAATTATTGTAAAATTATTGAAAATGAAATAGCATTGTCCTCCGAGAAATACCAGATCTTTAACTGGAAGGAATCCTAATTTCTGATGAAATCTACCGCTCGAATCGCCATGTTCACCGATAATCCATCCGTGGCAACTGGTTGCTGCAATCCCGAGTTTCTCGGAAAGCAGAAAACGGAAACGGGCAGAATCAAGGTTTGTTCCACTACCGAATACACGATGTGGTGGTAGCCCAGAAATTTTCCATGCAACATAGGTGAGCACATCGACTGAAAAAATAACACATTTGGCACCAATACTAAAATTTTTGGTTAGTAAAGTGCTAATCATCAAATCATCAATGATGTTTTAATCTTGAATGTAAGAAAGTGGCCAATGGAATGATTCATTTAATCGTATTATTCTGAGATGACAAACTAAAGGAATCACGAACGTATCATAACCAACAAAAGATATATTGATAAGCTCAATAATAGCTTCTTTCCTTTTAATGTTTAAAAAGGAAGTTTAAAAAGGAACCAAACCTGGATTGGAGACAATCAGTAGCATAGTATCCGGAGAATTAGCAACCAGTTTAGGAATGATGCCCTTGAAAATTTCTACATTACGTTGTACTAATGAGAGACGACTTTCGCCTTCACGCTGACGAACACCTGCTGTTACTACACAAAGTTTCGAGCCCTTGGTGATTTCATAATCTGTAATTAAAAAATTTGAATAAAGACCAATTCATGAGTAACATAAATAAAGACTTCAATACGCCCGCAAATGTGAGCTATCTAAACACACTAGTTAAGCATTATCCAAAAATAAGAAACTGAAAAATTACCGACGGAGGCACGGATAATACATGGACTCATGAATGGGACTCCATGTTGCAAATCCATCATTTCGCCCTTTAATTTGTCCGCCACAACATCCACCAAGCATAGTTCACTCACGATATTCTACAAATCTTTCATTTAGGAAAAATTTGTTTTAAAGTTTTAAAGTTTCTAATATTAAGTTTGAAGTGTTAGTGTTGTTACCATGCTTTGGAATAATGCTCAAAACAATCTGGTAAGCTCAACTCAGGTGATTTATTTTATTCAAGCTAACTTAATATTAGTGTTCCGAACTGCAAATTTGAGCAAAAACTAAAGACTGAACTAACTGCAGATTCAGTTTAATCAAGTAGACATAGCATTTGTCCCTTTCTAAAACTTGACATTCCATTGACGTGAATCAAATGTAAATAAAAAACGTATTTCTTCCATAACTTCACTTTCAATAAACTCCGCAACCAACTACTTCCTCTTTCATTTTTCCTTCCTCTTTTTCCTACCACAAACAACTGTTTCTGATTGATGCACTAAGTGATTAATGTTCAAAGTACATTGCTTTCTCACTTTCTTTCACAAATGACCATATGTTACAGTGCAATTTGTATAAACGAAACTGTGGCAAATTTTAAATATTGTGCTGGGAATGAATAAAAAATATCTCTTCTTATAAAACGAAAAAGAAAGGGAACAAGCAACAAGGCCAACAAGGCTGTGCTTAGGGAGAGCTCAAACATCAAAAATCCAGTAAAAGATGGTGAGTCTGATGCCAACTGTAATGACAAACTAAACTTGGAGATTTTATCCATGGTACAGCAAGCAAACGCTAAGCCATCTCAAACAGATGTGAGGTCCTTATTTACCACTCACCCGATATCACACTTAGGTAACGGAGTTCGCCGGGAAATCTGTTTCATCTTTTTCAAAAATCAGTTTCGAAAATAATGATGATTTCAGCAGGCATTAGTATCGTGTTTCAAGTTAACTGCTTACTGCTTACTGCTTACGTTAACAGATATAAACCTGAATCTCACATTTACATCGGATAACATTTAAGTAGCCAACTGTAAACATGCCTATTCAACATTTTAAAATAAAAATTTTCCATTACATATATAAATTTCTCATGAAACGCGTCTGTTACAATTTTCAGATTTTCTCAACTTTCAGATAATCAAGAAATTTCAGTTCGGACTTCGCCAGAATAATGCCCCGAATTTCAGCTAAATGATAAAAAATAATGGTAAATTTCTACTCCCTCTTTTCAGTTTTATAGTTTGGCACATTTATAATTCTCACACATCCCATAAAGTTTCATAAAATCCAATAAATTTGAAATGAAAATGGCAGAAAGGAAGCAACCTTCTGCATAATGCTAACAGCACAAGCCATGCCAACTTGGCCCACACCAACCACAGTGATCTTAGAATGCGGGGTGCGATGCGCTGGGACGATCTCCTTGAAGAGTGCTGCAGTTGTTTCGCTCATCCTGAAATAAAATCCAATCTTATATTTAATAAAAACGTATTAAATCTGATTCAATGCCTACGTTCCAGTTCATTTGACTACTCGCCATTTCTGTTTCTTCCTCAATTTCAAGATTTCCCACCCAATATTCTCGACTTTCAAATAATGTTCTGTCATTCTGAAACTAAAATAACGAGCTGTTACGGCACATTAAACCTAATTTTGCCCATCTTGAAAGTGCAGAAGAAATAAGTGATGTCCTAAGATCATCTTTTAATTAGTGTGCGGAACATCCCTTCAAACGTAAAACAGTCCGCTGACAAACTAATGCTGGAACCGAAATTCTTGGCTCTCTCCTGTTGAATGTGAAATTTCGCGTGAAACGCCCCAGTGAATTTCTTGAACGACGTACAAAAGCTAGTTTTAAAATAATCATGTCTATCCGGTAAATACATAAATTGCTACCCATGCTATCGATCGACAAGTTAATCCCACAATTCTAATTCGTACAAACGACTCGAACTAGCAATTAAGTACCCCTTATCATATGACTGCTAATAAACGATAGCAGCTGCTATAATGTACTCTAGAGTTGCCTCAGAAACATTTTCTTCCTGCAAACTCTCTCCACACTTCCTGAATTCAACTGAAGTAAAGATAACAAAGGACTGGACTGCTGAGTTAGAATATTAAAGAAACCTCGGGAATTATCAAATCTGAGTGATAGTTTTTCTCTCCTAATTTGCATAAGTTCCAAAAAAAAAATCCTGCTTCCTAATTTCAAAAGAACCGCACCATATAGATTAGGTGTTAAAAAAACACTCAACTAGACAGGACCAGGAAGGGTTGATGAAATGAGGGAGGAAAGAGGAGGAAGGGACAGCAGAAATCAACAATGTGATATAACGGGACGCTTGTCGTTATCCATGCCTGTCTTCTGTCCCTCCCTCTTCCAGAGCGTCAGCGTCTTTCAGCCAATCTAATCAAATTGCATATGTCGCACTCAATAAGTTGCGTAGCAACTCTGGCGCATTCACTCAGTTCGCTGTACTGCCCGGACAAAGTCAGAATTGTTCTCTCTTTCTCCCCCTCCCACCCTCTCTCTCTCTCTCTCTCTCTCTCTC